TATTTCTTTGAGCAGTGGTTCGTAGTTCTCCTTGAAGAGATCCTTTATGTCCTTTGTTAGTTGTATTCCTAGGTATTTGATTCTCTTTGTAGCAATTGTAAATGACAGTTCATTCTTGATCTGGCTCTCTGTTTGTCTGTTATTGGTGTATAGGAATGCTTGTGACTTCTGCACATTGATTTTATATCCCGAGACTTTGCTGAAGAAGCTTATCAGTAAGGAGATTTCGGGCTGAGATGATGGGATCTTCTAAATATACAATCACATCGTCTGCAAATAGAGACAGTATGACTTCCTCCTTTCTTATTTGAATATCCTTTATTTCTTTTTCTTGCCTGATTGCTCTGGCTAGAACTTCCAATACTCTATTGAATAGGAGTGGTGAGAGAGGCCATCCTTGTCTAGTGCTAGATTTCAAAGAGAATGCTTCCAGTTTTGCCCATTCAGTATGATATTGGCTGTGGGTTTGTCATAAATAGCTTTTATTATTTTGAGATATGTTCCATCGATACCTAGTTTATTCAGAGTTTTTACATTAAGGGCTGCTGATTTTGTTGAAGGCCTTCTCTGTACCTATTGAGATGATCATGTGGTTTTTGTCTTTGGTTCTGTTTATGTGGTAAATTACGTTTATAGATTTGAGTATGTTGAACCAGACTTGCATCCCAGGATGAAGCCTACTTGATCATGGTGGATAAGCTTTTTGATGTGCTGTTACAATCAGTTTGCCAGTATTTCATTAAAGATTTTTGCTTCTATATTCATCATGGATATTGGCCTGATGTTTTCTTTTCATGCTAAGTCTCTGCCGGGTTTTGGTATCAGGATGATGTTGGTCTCATAAAATGATTTGGGAAGAATTCCTTCTTTTTGGATTGTTTGGAATAATTTCAGAAGGAGTGGTACTAGCTCTCTTTGTATGTCTCGTAGAATTCAGCTGTAAACCCATCTGGACCTGGGCTTTTTTTTTGTTGGTAAGCTATTAATTGCTACCTCAACTTCAGACCTTGTTATTGATCTGTTCAGGGTTTTGACTTCTTCCTGGTTTAGGCTTGGGAGGGTGCAAGTGTCCAGGAATTTATCCATTTCTTCTAGGTTTACTGGTTTATGTGCATAGAGTTGTTTGTAGTAATCTCTGATGGTAGTTTGTATTTCTGTGGAATTGGTGGTGATATCCCCTTTATTGTTTTTTATTGCATCTATTTGATTCTTCTCTCTTTTTTTAATTAATCTGGCTAGTGGTCCATCTATTTTGTCAATCTTTTCAAAAAACTAGCTCCTGGATTTATTAATTTTTAAAGGGTTTTTTGTGTCGCTATCTCTTTCAGTTATGCTAGCTTTTGAGTTTTTTGATCTTGCACCTCTAGCTCTTTCAATTTTGATGACAGGGTGTCGATTTTAGATCTTTCCTTGATTCTCATGTGGGCATTTATTGCTATAAATTTTCCTCTAGATACTGCTTTAAATGTGTCCCAGAGATTCTGGTATGTTGTGTCTTCATTCTCGTTGGTTTTGAAGATCTTTATTTCTGCCTTCATGTCATTGTTTATCTAGTCCACATTCAAGAGCCAATTGTTTGGTTTCCATGAAGTTGTGCAGCTCTGAGTTAGTTTCTTAATCCTAAGTTCTAATTTGATTGCACTGTGGTCTGAAAGACTGTTATGGTTTCACTTCTTTTGCATTTGCTGAGGAGTGATTTACTTCCAATTATGTGGTCAGTCTTAGAGGTATGATGTGGTGCTGAGAAGAATGTATATTCTATGGATTTGGGGTAGAGAGTTCTGTAAATATCTGTTAGATTTGCTTGGTCCAGATCTGAGTTTAAGTCCTGGATATCCTTGTTAATTTTCTGTCTCATTGATCTGTCTAATATAGACAGTGGAGTGTTAAAGTCTACCACTATTATTGTGTAGGGAGTCTAAGTCTCTTTGTAGGCCATTAAGAACTTGCTTTATGTATCTCGGTGCTCAGGTATTGGGTGTATATATATTTAGGATCATTAGCTCTTCTTGTGGCATTGACCCCTTTAACCATTATGTAATGCCCTTCTTTGTCTCTTTTGATCTTTGTTGGTTTAAAGTCTATTTTATCAGAGACTAGGATTGCAACTCCTTTTTTTTTTTTCTTCTCTCCATTTGCTTGGTAAATCTTCCTCCATCCCTTTATTTTGAGCCTATGTGTATCCTTGCACATGAGATGGGTTTCCTGGATACAGCACACCAATGGTTTTTGACTTTTTATCCAATTTGCCAGTCTGCGTCTTTTGATTGGGGCTTTTAGCCCATTTACATCTAAGGTTAATATTGTTATGTGTGAATTTGATCCTGCCATTTTGATGCTAGCTGGCTGTTTTGCCCATTAGTTGATGCAGTTTCTTCATTGCGTCAATGCTCTTTACCATTTGGTACGTTTTTGGAGTAGCTGGTACTGGTTGTTCCTTTCTATGTTTAGTGCTTCTTTCAGGAGCTCTTGTAAGGCAGGCCTGGTGGTGACAAAATCTCTCAGCAATTGCTCGTTCATAAAGGATTTTATTTCTCCATCGCTTATGAAGCTTAGTTTGGCTGGATATGAAATTCTAGGTTGAAAGTTCTTTTCTTTAAGTATGTTGAATATTGGCCCCTACTCTCTTCTGGCTTGTAGGGTTTCTGCCGAGAGATCTGCTGAGTCTGATGGGCTTCCCTTTGCGGGTAACCTGACCTTTCTCTCTGGCTGCCCCTGGCATTTTTTCCTTCATTTCAACACTGGTGAATCTGACAATTATGTGCCTTGGGGTTGCTGTTCTTGAGGAATATCTTTGTGGTGTTCTCTGTATTTCTTGGACTTGAATATTGGCCTGCCTTGCTAAGTTGGGGAAGTTCTCCTGGATAATATCCTGAAGAGTGTTTTCCAGCTTGGATTCACTCTCTCCGTCATATTCAGGTACACCTATCAAACGTAGATTAGGTCTTTTCACATAATCCCATTTTTCTTGGAGGCTTTGTTCATTTCTTTTTACTCTTTTTTCTCTAATCTTGCTTTCTCATTTCATTTCATTGAGTTGATCTTCAATCTCTGATATACTTTCTTCTGCTTGGTCAATTGGGCTATTGAAACTTGTGTATGCTTCACAAAGTTCTTGTGTTGTGTTTTTCAGCTCCATCAAGTCATTTATGTTCTCTAAGCTGTTTATTCTCATTAGCATTTCGTCTAACGTTTTTTCAAGGTTCTTAGTTTCTTTGTATTGGGTTAGAACATGTTCTTTTAGCTCAAAGAAGTTTGTTATTACCCACTTTCTGAAGCCTGTTTCTGTCAATTTATCAGACTCATTCTCCATCTAGCCTTGTTCCCTTGCTGGTGAACAGTTGTGATCCCTTGGAGGAGGGGAGGAGTTCTGATTTTGGGTATTTTCATCCTTTTTGCACTTGTTTCTTCCCATCTTTGTGAAGTTATCGACCTGTGGTCTTTGTAGTTGGTGACTTTCAGATGGGGGTCTCTGAGTGGACATCGTTTTTGTTGATGAAGTTATTTCTTTCTGTTTTTTAGTTTTCCTTCTAACAGGCCCCTCTGCTGTAGGACTGCTGGAGGTCCACTCCAGACCCTGCTTGCCTGAGGATCACCTGTGGCGGCCTGTGCGTTCTTGCTGGGAACTGCACTCCAGAGCTGTTCCTATTTGCCGTCTTGAAGAACAGTCGCAGCTGTGCTTTTTAACATATGCACGGTCTACGGCTGGTCTCATACTACAATGGCAGAGTTGATTGGCTGTGACAGAGGCCATTTTGCCACAAGTTAGTTTCAAAATGAAAAGGTCTGACAACCTTTGGTGTATGTATAAATGCTGATTGACTCAAATCTCAATTTTAAACGTTCATAAGCTACCCCAATTGGAAAAGACAGTTCACCAAAGAAGACATATAGGTAGCAAATAAGCCCATACAAGATGTTCAACATTATTAGTCCTTAGAGTAATGCACATTAAAACCATAATGATATGAATACATATCCATTATAATGGCTGAAATTTCAAAATTTAAAAAACAGCAATAATAAGATCTTGAGATGCTACAGAACAACAAGAAATGTCATATACCTATGGTTGGAATGAAAAATCAATTCAAATACCTTGGGAAACAATTCAGCAGTTTCTTAATAAAGGAATACAAAGGGACAGGAAAAGACTTTTATGAATGATCAACATGTTAACTCTCTTGATTATGATGATGGTTTCACACGTCCATGCAATTGTACATTTTATATATGTGCAGTCTATAGTGTGTCAGTTATACCTCACTGAAACTATTGACTGCTGGAACAATCATCTAAGACACCAGGTGGGACACAGAGAAAGAGAAGGGTAGAAACGATGCAGGATAAAGCTAGAGGATTCAGATCTCTAACCTTATAGCAATTAGTAGCAGCTGAGTTATAAGCAAAGGAATACCGAATTCTGAATAATAATTTCAGAATCTTGCAATTTTTTCTAATAAAAAAACTTTATACAGAGGCAAGTTCGGAAATCTACTTTCAAAAAACTAAAAATCATTTTTAATGCAATTCATCAACAGGCATTCATTCACGTATTCACCCATTTATTCGCACATTTAACAAATAAATACTAATTGAGCACACAATACAAATGATCAGATCCGAATCTTTAAAAACATATCATTATGATTGCAGAATAGACCATGATTTCAGGAGGTAGGGTATTAGGGAAAAGAGTTCTAGGATTCCTAAGATTCCTGCAGCATTCCAGGTGGGAAAAAAATGGTAACCTGACATTGGGGGAAGGCGTAGGAGAGAAACAGAGCCAACAAAAAGACTGGGAGTGCCATTCATACCGAGAAAAGTACAGTGGAGTTATCATAGCTCTTTGGTGTACAGTATGCATTTGTTCTCTTTTTATTTTAACACTGAGCATACTTCTGAGACAAGCTTCACTATCATGCATCAGTTCTCAGCAACGTATACACACATTACTGCAGGATACATTAAAAGGTCTTGCATTTATGCAATGGTCCTACCTTTACACTCCATTTTAAGTTGTTCAATCAGCAACAAAAAATTCTCATAAGTAGAGTGAGACAACTCGCATTCTGAGGCTGTTTCAGACGATTGCATTGAGTCAGCAAAGTCAGCTCCAGAATGTATTTGGTTTTTGACCTATAAGATAAATAATACTGTTTCACAATGTCCTAGAAAGATTTATAACATATGTTAAATGTACAGAAGTGGTATTTCTCCATTTTTTTTTTGTACGAGCAAAAACACAGGTACTTCTTAAAGAAACAGATTGTTCTTAGAAGGTACAGTTATCAACGGCTGTTTTTTAATCACTTTTTCTAAGCAAACAGCTTTATAACAAAACTTTTTTTTTTCACCTTACCTTTTAGAACATTTTTTTAAAATAATATTTTAGATCATTTACTTTTTTTACAATACCTTGTTATTTTCAGTAGGTGTTTTATTTTCAGGCCTGAAAAAGAAACAATTCCTTTTAGAAAAATAGCAAAGATGTAAAATATAAAGAATATCTAATACTATTGTTTTATCACATAAAATATCTGCATTTGTATTACTTCTGCTATTCATCAAGTGCACAGGTAATTTTTTTTTTACAGGTAATACAAAATACAGTAATTTTCTACAACGGACATTAAATTATAAACAGAAACATTGACATTAAGGGATAAAGAAATTTACTACTACCGCAAATAATTAAATTTAGGTTCAGCTTTCTGAGAGTAAAACCAAAAGAAAAAAACATGTTACCTGCATTATGTGATAAAAAGATATATATCAGGTTCTTGTCATTGTTGTCCTTCTCAATAAAAACAGTGTTTACAGGCACTTTGGAAAATATTACTTACATTCTTATATAAGGGAAATTCTTTTCTTAATGATGATATTAGTTAGCTTTTTCTGGACTTACTATGCAGGTACTATGCATCATTCTAAGCGCTGTCCATGTGTCAAACTCATATAATCCTTTTAACGATGTGAGGTTTGTAACACTGTGAGGTTGGTAACATATTAGGTATTTTATAAAGGAAGAAAATAGGCACAGAAAGGTCCCATGACTCTCCTCAGCTGATACAGCTGGCCAGTAGCAGACCCAGCACTCATACCCAAGAATTCTACCTCAAAAACATGTGTTTCATGAGATGCTGTGAAGGTAACCTTTATTTTCAAGTGTTTTAAAGAGATATGACAGCAGATGAATCCATTCCATTTCTAACTACAACTATAAATAATAATTTCAGAATCTTGCAATTTTTTCTAATAAAAAAACTTTATACAGAGGCAAGTTCGGAAATCTACTTTCAAAAAACTAAAAATCATTTTTAATGCAATTCATCAACAGGCATTCATTCACGTATTCACCCATTTATTCGCACATTTAACAAATAAATACTAATTGAGCACACAATACATGCTGATGGCAATGCTGGTCCAGGGAAACATGGTGTTTTGAAACTTTCGAACTTTAGAATCCATTGTGGGTCAACTTGATTAAATTTTTTTTAAACTCTATATGCCAGAAGTAATAATCTGTGATAGACTGTCAATAACTAGCTTTTCTAAAGTACTTGAACAAAACCCTCCCATTTTCCCCAGAATCTAAACGACTCTAAAGTTGATACGCCTGACATTTTAGAGTACCTTAGCAAATCATACCTATTCATCAACGGACGTTTAAATTCTATTCAGTATGGCCTAAGTGTTCGCATGTTTATTATTTCACAACTTTAAAAAAATCTATATATAAACAGTTTAAATTTTAGTTCACATTTACATGCTCAGTTAGACTAATGTTACATTTCTGAAGCAATGCTGAAGGAACAAACTCTTACCATAAAACTCTACATGAATAAACATTTTAAGGACAATTAGTTTGCTAAAAGCTATAAAAGATAATGAGTCGAGCTTTCAAACACTGAGACATGCAAACAAAACTAAATCTCATAAACATGTTCTTCTTTCCTGATCATTACCAGCATCATACAAACACATTCTAAAAGCTTCTATTTTAAAACAAAAAAGAAAGAAAAGTCCCTGAATTCCACATTCTTCTTCAGTTTTCACCCATTTCTCTACTGTCTTTCCCAGTAAATGTTCCCTCAAGGGGTGTCTATGCTTATCCACGATAGTGAGATTCCACAGCATTTATTTATTGAAACTGTTCCTTGTCAAAGTCACCAGCCCTCAGAATAATCGGTCTTTCAGTGTTGATATAGTTGAGTATCCTCTAGCTTTGGCAGTCTACACTATTCTATTTCCAGAAAAAGTAACCACTGCAAATGTTCCTTCTCGGAGAAATAAAGAACGTTTAAATTTTACCTCCTTTCATCCTCACCTATTTCACTTAAACCGCTGTCATCATCTACTTGCAGCAGACCATGAGTTACTAAATTAGCCTTCTCAAACATTGGTGTAATCATATTATTTTGAGGTCCATTTTTTATTTTCATTTTTCTTTACTTCCTTCATATGTAATGCAGAACCACAACTTTAAAAAAATCTGGCCGGGTGCAGCGGCTCACACCTATAATCCCAGCACTTTGGGAGGTCGAGGCGAGCAGATCATGAGGTCAGGAGATTGAGACTATCCTAGCCATGGTGAAACCCGTCTCCACTAAAATACAAAATCATTAGCCAGGCATGGTGGCATGCACCTGTGGTCCCAGCTACTCAGGAGGCTGAGGCCAGGGAATCACTTGAATCCAGGAGACGGAGGCTGCAGTGAGCCGAGATTGGGCCACTGCACTCCAGCCTGGCAAAAGAGCAAGACTCTGTCTCAAAAAAAAAAAAATCTATAAAAAGCCAATGTTTTACAATAATTCTACTGATAACAAATAAAAAACAATTTTGTAAAATTCCAACTCTTCCCTATCTCAATTCATTAATTTAAAAAACACAGTTATGAATTACCAACATATAAAGAAATATATGTTTCCTGCCTCAAAAAACAAGTAATATACAATTATGATACAATGTGTGGTTTAAGAGTTGACATATGAAAAGTTATATTTTAGCACAAGAAAGGCTTTACAGAAAAGGCAAAATAGGAGCTCACCAGGGAAAAATAGAGAAAATGACTCCACTTGGAGAACAGAATGAGAGCACAAAGACTAGTCCCATGGAGTCTAGGTGTTTCCTGGGAACTTGAAAGGAGGAGTGTAAAACACAATGAAAAGAATGGAAGATGAATGCTACATCAGACAGCTGGAGCATACAGACAGTGATTCTTAGACATGAAACTCGTAATTAGATCTGTTCTATGTTTTGGGTATAATAATATTTAAACAGTTTAAACAAGGTTTTAAAAATAACAGGCACATATCACATTAAAGAAATCAGGAAAATGTCTTGGGAAGAAAAAAATCTTACTGTTAAAATTCCTCAATGTCAGTGTATACAGTTCAAAAATAGCAATATTTTTATTATAGAAGTTTGTTTGAAAATAAAATAATTTGGTAAATTTTCTATATGTTTAGTCTAGTTTTTAGTCTTAACACAGAAAGCTGAATTTGCCAGCAGAAAATTGTAATTACTTTTTTATGAAGAAAACACACACAGCATCACTACCATTACATGGAACAGAAAGCGAACAACAACAAAATAGATTAAGGAATAAAAAAAAGAGTATCACTATCATATAGCTATACACATTAACAAAGAGACAAACATTTACCACTTGAGATTATGTTAGGAGTTTAGCAGAAGCCTCTGAAAATTCCAAAAACTGAAACAAAACTAATAATTGCTGTTTGTTTTTAACTATATAGAGAACTCTTCTGGTTAAGACTAAGCATCAAAAAAAAAAAAAAAAAAAAAAAAGAGAGAGAGATCTTGCTGAGACCAATTATTAAACAATTCCTCTTGACCCATACATCCAAATTAATTATATAGTTCTGGAATATGAAATCATTTTCATTTTGAACATAGTTGATGGAAGGCAACTTTTAAACAGAAAACTGCAGTTTAAAGTTGCCTCAGACTTAGGAAAGAACTGACCTGTAGCATGGTAGTAACAGGCAACCACCCACGGCCAGTTCTAAATATAGTCAATCAATCAACCAGTATCAATGTGGGCCACTTGCTTCTGAAAGACAGGCAATCAAACACAAACTTACTCCAATCCACAAGCCTGGGAGTGAGTGCTAACCAACCCACAGCAGCCTCGCTCACATAGCCATGTTTCTCCAGATCATGTCAACCCTCTTATGCCCTGAGAGTCTGCCAATCTTTCAAGTCCGCTCCTCCCACCACCCTATGTAAGATCCACAGCTGCTCAGAGTGCCTGATCAGCACAGCTCTCTGGTAGAAAGCAATACATTCCAACTTGGTCTTTTAACTTCAAATACTGAAGGTTCATAATTGCTTGGAAACAATTTTTAAGTCCATTAAATTTACCACCCTTATATTTTTTCTTTATAAATTACCAATGAAGTTTGTAATTCCTTTGATCCATTTTATCATAAGTAAAACTATCATGATTATTAGTAAAACAATAAATACTGAGTAACCGGAAAATTGAGCTTTACTCTCTAAATGGAAAACTATTAATATAAAGAATGCAGCCTATTACAAAGAGCTAAAAAAAATTCAAAAAGGCATATCATTGCCAAGCAAAAGTGTTAGAATGAACCCACGTCAGACCTTTACTTCTTTTTTTTTTTTTTTTTTTTTGAGACAGAGTCTCACTCTGTCACTAGGCATCAGGCTGGAGTGCCGTGGCATGACCTCGGCTCACTGCAATCTCTGCCTCCTGGGTTCAAGTAATTCTCCTGCCTCAGCCTCCCGAGTAGCTGGGACTACAGGTGCGTGCCACCACGCCCAGCTAATTTTTTTTTGTATTTTTAGTAGAAGACGGGGTTTCACCATGTTGGCCAGGATGGTCTCCATCTCTTGACCTCATGATCCGCCCGCCTCGGCCTCCCAAAGTGCTGGGATTACAGGCGTGAGCCACTGTGCCCAGCCTTTCTTTTTTTTTTTTTAACATGAGAATCAGTCTAATGTTCTTAAAATACACCAAAGGGTAAACTTCGCTTGCTCATTTAGTAAGTATTTGTTGAGTAGCTACTTACTGCATGCTAGGCCCTTTTCTAGGCACACAGGATATGGTAGTGAACAACAAAAATCCTACTCATGAAAGTGAAATAGGCACACAATGAAAGTAGATAGATTAGGCAAATATATAATGTTAGAGGGAAAAACTAAAGCAGGAAAATGAAATGTTTACAGGTTTGAGGGGAGGAGTGGTGAGAATTTTAGGATGGCCAGAAAAGTCCTGACTGAGAAAGGGGCTTTTAAGAACTGAAGGAATGGAAGGAGAAAGCCAGGAGGCGACTTGAGGAAAAGGCATCCCAGACACAGGGAACTGCCCAGTTCAGAGGTATGCCTGGAGTGTTTAAGCAACAGTGATATATAAGGAAGAGCAAGAAGTTCAGTGTGGCTGAAGCAGAGCAAAGGGAGTAAGAAACAGAAATTTAAGTTGAGAGAGGGTATTACGGGGAACACTGACACATACTCAGAGTGAAATGGGAGGCAATCAGATGGGTCTGAGCAGAGGAATGACATCATCTGACTTACGTTTTAAATACGGCCACTGAGTTAAGGATTTATGAAAAGAGGATTCTTTTAAGAAAACAGAAAGACCAATTAACAGTCTATTACATGCATCTACACAGCAGATGGTGGTGGCTTGGACATGGAAGATACGACTGACTTCTGGATACATTCTTCAGGTACTCCTGACAAGCTCTGCTGACAGATTAGACATGAGGTGTCAGAGAGAGAGGTGAGTCAAGAATGACACTTTGGTTTCTAGCAGAGCAACTGCAAGAGTGCCGTTAATGCAAGTAGGAAAGACTATGTGAGGGGCAGGTATGAGAAAGAACACTGGTACCCCAATCTCGGACCTGGTAAGTTTGTGATACCCAACAATTTGTGATCAACCAAACAGAGATGCCAGGTTAGTATAGAAGTCTGGAATTAAGGAGAGAGATCGAGGCAGGAGACATGCATTTGGAAATCATTAGCACACTCAAGGTAGTAAGCCACGAGAAAGAAGATTGAGGACTGAGCCCTGGGACACATCCATGTGAAAATGTGGGATATGAGAAGAAACCAAGACAGATTATGACAGATGGACTAGAAAGGCAGGAAGAAAAGCCAGGCGAGTGAGGGAGATCCTGAAAGCCAAGTGAAGACACCGCTATGGAGGAGAGAGATATTTCCATTAGGTCCAATATTGCTGACAGGTTAAATAAAATGAGGTCTAAGAAACAATGTCTAGATTTGCTTAAGTGAAAATCAGTGGTAAACTTGAGAACAACAATCTTGGAAGAGTGGTGGGAGTGAAAATTACTGGTGTCAGCTCAAGAGTGAATGGACAGGAAATCTGAATCCATGAGTATAAACCATTCTTTCAAGGCCAACATACCTAGGGAAATGATGTAGATGACCTTATTTTCTTCTTGTTTAGCTGTATTTTTCAATTCTTATATTACTATATAGTATATTTTTACCCTTTAAAAGTTTTTAAAATTATGCCTATATAGCATTTTTGCAATGCCAGATCAAGGTATTAAAAAATTCATGAAGTTATAGAACCAAAAGACCTCTTGAACTTTTCTAGATTATATAAGCTCATTATCATTTTGCTCATGCTTATGCATAAAGATCAAGGAAGACTAAAAGTTTCAGAAGAAGTATTTCTTGCTTGATAAAAATCATCCAACTCTAGAATATTTTATACTCATCAAATAAACAAAAACAATAGTCAAAATAAGGAATTCTATTAACAGGAATAAAAGGGGACAAATGCAGAAAATAATCTTATTTTGTAAACCAAATTTGTTGAAATTATATGAAGCCACTGTTGAAAAATACGGTATGCTGCCTACTGAAATATATTATCTTTTAAAAGGAAGGATAATGGCATGCATGTAGGGTACCTTTAAAAAGAGGATTCACTGCATAACAGCACCTTGGTTTTAGCACCAGGGTCAGCAAATTGGCGCTTGTGGGCCAAATCCAGACCGCTGCCCGTTTTCATGAGGAAATTTCCTTGAAACGCAGACGCACTTACTCACTTTATAATCCACAAAGCCTGCAATATTTAGTAACTGGCTTTTTACAAAAAGTGCTGTCTAACTCTCGGTTCAGTACATCTAAGATCCTCTGATGTATTTTAGTAAGTTTTACCCGAATATTTTATACTCGGGTATATACTGAAACGCTTATGTGAAATATGAATTCCCTTATGCAATCCCTTGGCAATATGTATACAGATTAATTTGAGGGTCTGGCATTTCAGCACTCACACGCTGAGAACAAAGAACAAAAATTTAATAACTAGCAGTTCTGTTGCTAACAAGGTACAGTGTCAGTGTAGCATGTAGCTGGCTTCCTTTTGTAACTGAGCAGATATTACAAGAATTTCAACAAAACTGACTTAAGATATGTCAAACTAAATGCTTTAAATATACTTTCTGAAATAATCAGTACACTCTAGATCTAACAACTTCATTTATTAAGATGATTGCATACTACATGATTTTCTAGGTATGACAACTGTACTATTTCCTTATTGCTAAGGATTTAGACTATCTCCAACTTTTTGATATTACAATGCTATAATATCTTTATACATAAGTATATATGTAACATATATAAATAACCTTAACGTACATATATAATATTTACTATATATTTACCCATTAGCCTGTTGTATCTTATACACTACAAGTAATAAATGTCCTTAATGCATATGTGTATGTGTCTACACAAGTAATATTTTCCTGTAGGCTCTCATCCAAAAGGTGAAGTTGTTAAAGGAGTGACGTGTTTGAAATTTTGATACATGCTACTAAATTACCCTGCAAAAAGGATTTGCCAATTTCATTTAACAACAGTGTATGAAAATGCCTTTTTCCTCATATTTGCCAATGCTTCCTATTTTTTTAAATAAAAAATATGATTGGAAAACATGGCATCTCATGTTAGTTTGCATTTTTCTGATAACAGAAAGGGCCGAATATCCTAGTAAAAGTATAAAATTTGTTCATCATGAATATTAGCCAAAATTAGAATTCATTTCATAGCACATAATTGTCTCTTATTTTTTTTTTTTAAATGGAGTTTTGCTTTTGTTGCCCAAGCTGGAGTGCAATGGCACAATCTTGGCTCACTGCAACCTCCACCTTCTATGTTCAAGTGATTCTCCTGCCTCGGCCTCCCAAGTAGCTGGGATTACAGGTATGCACTACCACACTCAGCTAATTTTGTATTTTTATTAGAGATGGGGTTTCTCTGTGTTGGTCAGGCTGGTCTCGAACTCCCGACCTCAGGTGATTCACCCACCTCAGCCTCCCAAAATGCTGGGATTCCAAGCCTGGGCCACCATACCCACCCAATTGTCTCCTGTTAAGTGTTACTATAGGCTTACCTGTCATGCACTTCATTCTCCTTCCTAGGAAACTGCTGATTAAGTCCATCATCATCACTGCCAGCAGCAGTACCATCAGGTAGGCTTCCCAATAATTCTGTGTTATTACTTGTGTGCTGCTTCATTTCTTCTTCAACCTTGAGTGAGAGTTTGATGTTAAGGATGATTGTTATTACTTTATTCAATAAAGAATTTTTTTTCTGTTTTCATTGATTTCATCACTTGACTCAGTTTACTGATCATAATTTTATTCATTAAAATACTTTGTGCTTACTTTAATTTTATATCTAAAACTATAATAGAATTATAAATAATACAATTGTATCATCAACAGTTTTGTAAAGTCAGCTTTATTTCTGTTTTATTCAATGAGACAGAATTTTCCAAAATTTCAACAAGTGCCCTTCTTAATTTTGTGCTTTTATTCCCGACCACCCTTTACTATGTATTATGAATTTTTACCTCATTTGACTGGCACAAAGACATAAATAAGAAAACAAAGACACAAAGCATGTATTCTTCTGTCTTTACCACTTGGCTTCAACATTAACAGCCAGACTGAGAGGATGTGACACTGTGGGGCTTCAGGAACAGAAAGGAAGCTTTCTCTTTTCTGCACTAAGCTATTCTTTTCCCCCATTAACTTTTGTCTTTTTTTTTTTTTTTTTTTTTTTTTTTTTTTTTTTTTTTTTTTT